ATCGGTAAAAATTGTACGACTCCAATCATCATTCATATGAAATTGTGCCCATGCCATTCTTGTTTCAATATGGCGGGCTGTTAACATTGGTGTTCCAATGGGTACAGAACTCTTATATTTTTTTTTTTGATATGGCTCCATACAGTATGATGTGAAATTGATTCATTATGTGTTTCTCGAAGTTTTACTGCAAGTTGTCGTGTTGAAACAGCATTATTGTAGCGAATAACTTGCCAATAGAACGTGAAAATGTTTGTGTGACCTTGGTTGGACAACCATTGCCAACTTTATGTTCGATAGTGCCTGTTTCTTTTGACTTTTTTAGGTTTTTCTGAATGGTACGAAGTAGTATTTCTGATTTTTCATGTATTTCTCTTGGTGAATGGATACCATTCATCCAAAAATGTAAAATAGTTTTACGTTGTGCTTCTAATTTAGCATTAACCATCTTTACAAAGTTTGCTCGTCAAAAAATAAAGAAAAGACTAGCAAGATATCCAATCATTTTTCATCATGTGAAAAATTTTTTATTCGTCAAAATTTTCAAAAATGGATTTACATTGTGCGCGCCCTTTTTTTGAAACACACTGTATTATTAGATAATAATAACCAAAGTAAATTACAAATAATAATTTTTATCATGGCATAGAGATTAGAAATTAAATTTTATTTCATACTACATATGCTTATATTAACATTTTTTCTTATATAACATATATATAAATAACATAATAAAATAATACAAAAAATTTATATATAAATTAAATCATGAAAGCTTTGATTAATTCAATCAATTTGAATCTTCTTGAGAAGCCTCAAAACGATCCCAAATATCCTCAGTTTTAGGACGTAAATCTCTGTTAAATTCCCAACATTCTAAAAAAATTTAAGAATTATTATCATTAATAAGATTATTGTTTAAATGAATATATTTATATGTATTTAAAAAATTATTACCTTTATATAAATCTTCATAAAATTTAGGAGTATCTGGAACTGGAGTTTCACGAAGATTTTCATAAACAATTAAATAACATAACCTACATGGCTCATCAGAATATTGTTCAAATGGTAGTTTTTGTGATGAAATCTCCCAAAATAACACACCTAAACTATATATATCAGATATAATTTCATCTCTAAAGAACTTTTTTGGGTTCTTTAGATGCTGAGGATCTAAATAGGGTATTGATTCATAATATTGAGCCAAAGTTTTTTTAGATTCTTCTATTTTTTTAAACTTTCCAAAATTGTGAAGCCTTATTCTACCATTGGTCATACCAATGTTCTCTGATCTCTATTATTTATTATTACACAATATATATAAATATATTATTAATCATCAGAAAAAACTAAATTATATATAAAAAAGTTAGATAATTACCAAATTTCCATGAAACATATCATATTGATGTAGACAATATAATCCACCTGTTAATTGTTTGGCAAGTTGGAGTTTTTTAGCCCATGGTAAGTCATTGCCACTTAGATGATCTCGTAAATTATCATCAGCATAATCTAAAACCACAGTAACAATATTATTAGCATTAGGCTCTTGTGTTAAACCAATGTAGCTCAAAACATTGTCATGGGCTGAAACTCTACGAAGTTTTTGTACCTGTATAAATAAATTTTTTATTTAAATAATAAAATAAAAATTTACAAAATAAGATATATTTATTTATATTCAATAACCAACCTCTAAAACTACATGCCTCAATGAGAACTGAATATTAAATTTATATCTTGACAAAGTTACGACTTTTTTTAATGGCTTTAATGTAGCCTTTTTTAATATAGAGTCAGCGGAATTTTCAACCAACTCTACATTCTCAAAATCATTGTCGTAATCATAAAACAACATGAAACCATTTTCTTTAGCCTTAAATATCCATTCTCTGGCTTCGTTATCGTCGGGCAAAAGTTTGAACTCGTCGCTACTAGACATTTTCGTTACTTTATATATTATTTAAAAATGAAAGTTTTATTTTTTTTTGATATAAATAAAATTTTATATTTTTTTTATTTAAAAGATAAAACGAAAGGAAATTTTCTAAATTTATATTTAACGTTTTATCAATCTTAAAATCAGTCAATGATAAGTATATAATCTTATTTAGACAAACATTACAACTTTTAAGTTTTACAAGTTTTACAAGTTTTACAAGTTTACAAGTTTTACAAGTTTTATCAGGAATTTCAACAAAATATTTTGCACAAATTAATTTTTAATATGTACGCCACACAATTCACTGCGCTTATAAAAACTTAATCCACGGAGAAAAAATACATTTTCGTGTAACTTCTAAGTGAAAAAAAAATTTCCCCTTCATGAACTTGTTAAATCAAATCTTATGTCGACTCTTTTCCCAACAATTCAAGGGTTCCGAAACAGCTTTGGAGTTTTAATCAAATTTGGAATCTAGTTTTTAAAAAACATTTTGTATTGACATTTCATTGGTTCGTATTTCATTTCCTTATTTGAATAAAATTATCATATTTCAGTTGACTCTTAGGTATTAGAGTTTCCTTGCACTCTAGGCTCGTGAAACTTTGAGAAAGCGATGTATCATATGTTCCCGCATTACATAATGCAGCTTTTATTAAAAAACTTGTTTATAACTAAATGATGTTAAATGGCCGAAAACAAAAAATAATGGTTTGATACGTATATATAGGCTTTGAAATTGGGAATTCGACTTCAATATAATTAAAGCACTTCAAAATTAAAATTAGCCCAATTATCAAATTTTCTGAAGATAGTTTCTAAATTTGTACTAGTTAAAACTACGTGTCTATACTGTAAAATACAATGTTTCTCTTTCATTTAGAAGAAATTTCCACGAATAGATGTTTTCTCATCTAGTTGATTATAACATTCTGAAAAAATTTAAATATTTATAAACTTTTACATATGCTATTTTTGTAATTAATAAGTCTTGTATTGCAAAATCGTGTTACATACATTATTATGTAAAAACTTATGTGTATTTCGACAGATATGGTATGTGAAAGAGAAATAATAATCACACACAAAGAAAAAAATTCCATTACAAGATTGATAGATAACAAATTATACACCGCAAATAAATAATCACTTAATGTGTATTTACTAAATATTCATAATAACAAATATTTTTTTCTGCCAAAAAATATTTTACTTCCTCAAATTTTTAAAAAGAATAAATGGATAATGACATTTGTTTATATTGTAATCAACCCAACACAGAAAGACAATGGTGTAAAACATGCGATCCAGGATTCTTAGTTAGGAGTTGGAATGTCGAAAATGAATCCATAAGGGAATTTATCTTAAACAATATAAGGCAAGCGGATCATTACGATGACCCATTTCTTGAATACATTCCTTATGGAAATCTTGAAATTATCGAAAGAATTGGTGAAGGTAGCTATGAGTTGTATATCATGCCAAATGGAAGGATGGATTGAGATACAGTGAAGGGAATGTTAAAAGTAAACACAAATCAGTTGATGTCGCCATGAAAGAATTAAAAAGTGGTTATGATATATCCGTTGATTTTTTATCAAAGGTAAATGAATAATAATATAAATAAGGTAAAATCTAAATTAATGCATTTATCACACATATTAATACTAATACACATTATATTTCGTAAATATCATGTGTATACCTTGCACACATGTAATAGATTGAAGCTCATTTTCAATGCTTCTATGAAGATCAAAAAAGTATCACACAGAAATTATTAAGATTATATGATATTACACAGAATCCAGAAACCAAAAAATTATATAATAGTTATGGATTATAAAGAAGCCAGTCTACGAAATTCTCTGGATAATAAAATCCATGAATCTCTAGAATCCCTACAATCCCATTGGACAAGTAGGATCGAAATCCTTTTCAACATATAAACTGCTATGAAAAGAATTCATCGTACAGGATGTATTCATCGTAATCTTCATTGTGGGAATATTTTAGTAAAAATTAAAGCAAATCGAATCCATACATATGTTACAGGATTTGGATTTTCATTGGATGTTAGAACTAATAGTAATATGAATGTGTTTTACCATATATTGCACCAGAAGTACTGAACGGACAACCACAATCCAAAGAATAAGATGTTTATTTATAGTTTTGGTGTGATAATGACCGAAATGACTACCGGAAAACCACCATTTTATGATAGATCACATGATGAAATTTGGCTAAAGAAATTTGCGAGGATGGATTGAGACCGGATTTTAAATATTAGCATTACTCCACCGGATTACTTCCGATTGGCTAAACAATGTCTTGATGCGGATCCAACAAACAGGCCAACTTTTGATAAATTGGATGAGATATTAGGGTTCTGGTATGATACATTATTTGGTCATGGTCTTTTTGCACACAAGAGGAGAGAAGTTGATGCTACTAAGAAGTCTTTGAACCATTTGGTGATATTCAGATTGAATCAAGTTATACTCTTCATAAAGGTGCTTGTTATACTAGAAGAACATTTGATTTCAGTCAATTTTCTAAACCGAAACTCCGCAAAGATCATTATATTTATCCACAATTATAAAAAAAATTTATCATCATATCAATATTGTATCATTCATTCATTCATTTTATTATTTATTGTTAGGAACATTTTTTTTTTATTTTAAAATTATATGAAATTAAAACAATAAAAAAATATTATTTAGTTATATCTATAGATAAAACAATAATAATTGCTTTTATTAAAATTCTGGAGTATCTTTAACTTGTTCTTCAAGAAGATTTCATAACAATCACGTAACATAATTTACATATTATTTTCAAAGGGAATTTTCCCAGTTGAAATTTCCCAAAACAGTATGCCAAGACTATAAATATCTGTTTTTTTCGATCTATAAACTTTTTTTTCGGATTCTTTAAATATCGAGATCAAAATATCGTGTCGAGTTGAAATGATGTGAGAAATGCTGTTGACTTGGGCGAATTAATCGTTTAAATGACTCAAAATTATGTAATCTAATGCTACCATTAAGGATATTTATATTTTTAGATGATAAAGAAAAAGGTTGATTATTTCATAAAAATTTAAAAAAAATAAAGACAATGATAGATATGAACAATATTATTAACGTGTAAACAATATAATGCGGATGTTAATTCTTTAGCAAGTTTTAAATTTTGCATCCATGACAAATTATTAGTACCTAGATATTCGTGCAAATTGTCTTTAAGCATAATCGAGAATTAACGAATAAATACTTTCTTGAGCTGAGTCTATTTTAGATTTTGTTTTTTTCTTTTGAATTGAAAATAAGATGTAAATAAATTACGTTGCAATCTTCGATGACCTTGTGACTAAAAACCGAAAATAATTTATTTAGTAGAAAATAACAAAACAAAAACAAAAACCTCTTTACAAATTCTTTCCTTGTGTATAAATCATTTAATTTTAAATTCAATAAAAGAAACCTTTGTATTTTATTTGAATAAACTTTTTTTAATACAATATCAGGCAAGTGAATGTCTCGTAATTATTATTATTTTCAAATACAAGAAATTCTTTTCTTTTAGCTTCATTCAACCATCCAAATGCTTGATTTTCAGTTTCTATTCCAGCAATCATATTTACAGTCCCCAGCGAAAAGAATTGCGATGGGAATGTCTTCTCTTTTTTTGAGCGTAGCATTGCATTTTCCAATTGGGATGTTTATTTATTGTACTAAATTGTACAGTGGAATGCTATTACAAAAAACAATGAAAAAAAAAGAACCTTAAATATTATTTTTATTTTTTAAAATGCTAAGAGCTCTAAATTTGATAGACAAGCACAATAGGTCAGTATTTTCAATAATTTGTCTAGAATTTTTTTAAAAGAATTAGCTTGCCCTTCAACTACATTATATGACAACTGTCTTTTGTTATATTGCGTTATTGTAAGGGCATGCTTAATAATAAAATGAATCAAATATATAATTATAAAAGAAAATATTTAATTTTCATTATCTTGACAGCTAGGGTTTCTCTTAACAATGTAATTCAAATAGTAGTATCTTTGAGCTTGTAGGTATTTAATTCTGATCCGCTTTTATACCGATGTAATACAAGATGGAAAAATACCGTCATTCAACCAAAATTATCAAGAGGCATCTAATGATGGGTATATACTGGTTGGGAAAAACATTTAAAAAAAGGGCCAAAAATTGCTGACTTCGCAGATTATTTGCAATACTAACCTTGATTAAGGTCTGAATAAAGGTGAATGGAGACATACAAATTATCCGTTGTTTAATAAGATTTATTGTCCTAATTTTTAGCTTTTTATTTTAAAAAATAACTTTCAATTTTGTTATGTAATTGCATGAGTAAGATTAAAAAACTAAACTGCCATTATTTTCGCCGGCCAAGCCGTTTAAAAATTCCTTAGCCGGCTAACATCACTATATATAAGATGCCATTGTGCATGGTTTATTTCTCAGAAACAATATCATAATTTTGTCTTCCAACTTAAATTTTTAAATTCATTTGTTAAATAATAGTGAAGACTTCATCTTCTATATGTTTCATTACAAATATACATTTCTTTGTAATTGGATCTTGTGTTAATCCATAACTTCTTCATAATTTTTGAACTATGAAAAATAACATTTTTTAACTTTCATTGCTAATAATAAAAAAATAATAATTTACCTTATTAAGAAATTGTTCAATTATGTAATTTTTTTTAATACCACAATTTAAGTCTTTACTGAATCTTTCTCCATTTACATAATATATATGTTTCCAACCATTTATCCAAGTAGCCTTGTATATAGTTAAAAAATCTGCCTTCATTTATCTTCTCAAATCATTATAAATAATCCATTGAAAATGCTGTTTATTGTCATATTTAATTGCTTTAATTTTGGATCACATTGGCACCATCCCCAATTAGTATTATACCAAAATTTTCATTTGAATATTTATTTATCTTCATCTTC